AGCAATTTCACGCTAAAGCTTACACAGGTACAAGGCCTTTAAGGCCGCAGCTTAAGGCTTCCCTTCTTGAGGGCTTAGGCTTCAACTACGATCCTCTTAAAGCTGCCTTCGAGTTCAAAAAGTCACCCTACACCCCAAACCCTGAACCCTACTTGCTTAAGGGTGAAGGGTTCAGGGTTTTGCTTCATGGGTTGCAAGAATCAAATCCGAGATGCACCATATGAAACCCTAAAACCCAAGACTCCGAAGCCCATAATAGAATAGTTCAGGAGATGCTTGGGAAACGCAGCCAAGCTCTTCTCCATAGTAAGACAGGCCCTCAACCTGGAACGAGCCCCAAACTTCAGGAAAAGAACTGGAAAAGCCAAAACTCTTGCACCCGCACTTTATCCTCCGTCGTGTGCAGAGCTGGCTACGCAACAGCCTATGACCGAACGTAGGGTGCAGTCTCCAGAGGCTGGGGTTCTAGCCCCGGCCTGCCATCCTAGTCTTCTAGGCCTCCCATCTTCTCCCTGTTTTTCAGGCAGAGCAGACGCGAGAAGGCTTGAGGGGGTAGTAGAAACGTCGCTCTGAGGGTGTTTATAAGGGCTACTCTACTGCCTCGTCACTCGAGGCTGCCACCGCTCGCAGAGAAGGCAAACTTCTTCAAAAATAGACACTCTCTGTAGGCGCCTGCACGTAAACAGACAACGGCCCACGCTCAAACACAAGAGGGCCCCGAATTTGGATAAAGCTTCCCACGAGGAGTTCAGGCTTTAACTCCACCTCCCGGGCCCTGAGGGATCAAAAGCCATAGAATGAGGCATGAGGGTTCAGGGGTCTTGAGGTTGAGGCTTTGATATAGTGGCCTTAATACTTAGAGTAAGGTTTTGGTATATTATATTGTAATATAATGTATTGAATTATATTACAATATAGTATAATATTATATTATATTATGTCATATCATATTCCATTATATTTATAGTAAGGAACCTCCAAAAAAATGTATAGGCAATTATTTAGGCCCCTAGATTAAATGGCGTCAGCTTTGGGGTCTAAGGTTGGAGGCTGCAGGGCTTAGGGTCTTGGGGTCTACTCGGTGGGGGTTCGGTGGTTTTTGGGGGAGTCTCTCTTGATTTGACAATACTTAGGGCTTTACGGTTTTAGGGTTTAGGGCTTTAGGGCTTTAGGGAGCTTTAGGGCTTTAGGGTTTCGGGTTTAGGGTTTTTAGGATGCTGAGAACCAGTCCCAGAGCCCGACAGGTGGAATACCCGCAGCACATCCCATCGGAAGATCGGTAAGGGACTACACCAGACCAGACGGACACAAGGACCATGGGGTTCAGGGTTCGAGTCCACCTTGCAAGGACTAGGAGGTAGGAGCAGGGGGACCCGTTTTTGGCGGTAGAGACCCTCTCAATAAGGTAAGTAGGGTTAAGAAAGGTCCCCTTTAAGGTGTCTCCCTCGTACCACCTAGGAACGACGGTCGTCAAGCCCCTGTGCTCACGTGGTCTGGAATCTGGGTTCTGCAGTAGCCAGCATGCAAAAGCCTCATCTTGTAGTCTGCAATGGTTTCTGTACCAACACAGGAACCAACAACCGTAAACAAACACTCCCTCCAAAAACACCCATGATATCAATAGCAGCCATCAGACGAATAAACAAGCGAATGACACTAATTCCACCTCCTAAACCCTGACCCCAAACCCCAACGGCCCTAAACCTTCAACCCTACACCGGGATTCGCGGGCTCCTGCTCCAGAACCCACCCTCTAGGCATCAAGGCTGCTCAGAGTCCGACACTAACGTCGTCACCTCGAACTTTCGGCATACTCCCGGCTTGCGTTGAGGCTTAAGGCTTAGGGATTAAGGCTGATTAAGGTTCAAAGGGCTAGAGGTATCGGAATTAGATTGGAGGTGGTCGGGTTCAGGTTGAGTTTTCGATTTAATTAGAGCTTGCAGGGCAGGACACGAACCAGAGCAGCCGGAGTTAGCGTAATGAATTCAGCATTATTACTAATGCTAGTCTTACTGGCAATACGATTATTGCTATTGTTACCGCTAAAATATGACTATAGTGACTATTGGGTTCGGTGTCTTCGGGCGAAGGTTGGGGCTGTAAAGGCTTTTGGTGAGTATGATTAGCGATCTCAGGCTATGTAAACCCCTAAGCCCTTAACCATAAACCCTAAA